TCCAGGCAGAGAGAGAAAGAGAAAGTGAGAGAGCAAGCTGCCAGGTCCAATACTTGAACTGTGCTCAGCCATGTGGGAATCCAACGCCCTTAACCACCACACCACCTGCTGGTCCCAAGAGTTGTTAAGTTTCGAGCTTAGATTAACTAGGCAGTGACTGAGTTAAATGTGGGAGAAGCAGGTGGAAATAGTGATGGAAGAAAGTGACAAGATGACCTTGGGGTTGGATTTCATGGTGCCTGGGTAATTTCCAACTGGAGCTGTCCAGAAAGCAACTGCAGGGGCTCGTGTGAAACTCAAAGTGCGATTCTGATGTCATCAGCCTCTCTCTCTCCCAGAAGGAAATATAGAACACCATAGCCCTTGGAGAAACTGAAAACAAAACAAACTTGGAAAATGAAGCATTTAGGAAAACAGACAAAGGGGTTTTCCACAAAGCCATGCTAGGTCATTACAGGGTCATCTTCTTTTATTCATTTTACCCTTCAGTTTTTTACTAACACCTTAACTGTTCGTCCTTATCCTGAAGTTAGCTTCTTAAGACATGGGTATCTAACAAACGCCTCTAAAGAGTGGCTTCCCCCCAGACACGGGGATGCCTTTGGGAGTAGTATTAGCTTCTGTAACACTAGGGAACCATTTAGCTACTTAGCATTTCAGTACACGCAGTGGGGTCCTAATGGCCTGGAAACACAGCCCTAATTCACCTCCACCTTCCTGAGGGACAACTTGCGAAATCTGCCTCCTTCTCATCATCATAATAGATAAATATTAACATATCAAATACCCTTAGAGAGAAGGCTCTTGAGCTACACTCCCAGGTGAACTGGCATTTTCCTTTAACTTTCCTTTCCCAGCAACCAAAAGTGCTGAACTTGTAGTAAGGTGAAATACAGGTTTTTTCAGCCCAGCCACAGTGACCAGAGCTGGATACTGCTGCTTGGCATGGTGGGAACGAGTCGAAGGCTTGGGTTCCATACCTGGACACCCTACAATGCCAGGTGTGGTGGTGAGAGCCTACGGTCCCAGCTACTGGAAAGGCTGAGGCACGAGGAACACATCTCGGTGAGACCTTCTCTAACACACTGCACTCACCAACCCACACATACCCTAACACAGAAAACCTCTTCCCAATATTGGCTATAGGGCTAATAAAATGTTTATTTCATATTTATATCACTCCCCCCCCCCATTTTTAAGCACTTCTACCCCCAACCTCTGCCTAGACCAGCTTGCCATTTTTTTTTAAACATTGAGTAAGAGAAAATTACTTGTAAGTAGTTTGAAAATTGTGACCACACCCTGGTCACATATAATCATTGCCTTCAACAGACAGCAACTCTATCATAAATGGAGAGCTTTTGACTGTTTCTAAGAGGTATCTCTATTCTGGGAACTCAATCCCAGTTCAATAGAAATTGTTTCAGTCTTTTTTTTTTTTTTTTAAGAACTATTCATTTTATTAGTACTAGTATTATTGGGACCAGCAGATGGTATGACAATGGGAATCACTGGACTCCCACAGTCGACCATGGTTCCAGACCTGGCAGCTTAAAACTCACACTAGGTACCTGTGCGTGCATGCCCAAAGTCCTGAGAGGAGAATGGAGAAGAGATAGTGGTATGGCCATCCTTGCCAACGGTGATTTCTCGCTTTCTGTCTCTGTGTCTCTGGCGAGTGCATACACACTATAGCAAAAATCTCTCTAAAATAAAGTTTTGTTTTAATTTAAAAATATTAAAAATACTGTTGTTGGGGACCAGTAGGTGGCATGGTGGTTAAGGCGCTGGACACTCCCACATGGCCAGCAATGGTTCAAGTCCTGGACCTGGTGGCTGGCTTTCTCTTTCTCTCTCTTGCTGGTCAAATTAAAAAATAAATGAATGAGTAAATAAAATTTAAAAAACACTATTTTTATTACTTTAATTCACCAGAGAGAGATAGAGGTGAAAAGTGAAAAAGCAAACCTCCAGGTCCAAGACTCAAATTGTGATTCGCCATATGGGAGTTCAGTACCCCAACCACCATGACACCTGCTGGCCCTGTTTTGGTCTTCTTAAAAAAATTGTCTGAGTGGGACCAGCAGTTGGCATAATGGTTATGTCGCTGAACTCCCACGTAGTCAACCGTGGTTCGCATCCCGGACCCGGTGGCTTAAAACTCACGCTGGGTGCGTGTGCATGCGTGCCCAAGATCCTGAGAGGAGAATGAAGGAGAAGGGATTGCGGCATGGCCATCCCCCCTGGGGGGTGATTTCTCGCTTTCTATCTCTTTGTCTCTTTCTGTCTGGCAAGCGCACGCGCCCTATAGCAAAAACCTCTAAAAAAAAATTGTCTGAGGGCGAGTACACTCACGAGGGAGAAAGAGAAAGCACCTCCCACTCCCTGCCCAATGGAGCACTGTCATGCTGAAATCCCTTCTCTGCCATTTCTCCATCCTGTCAGAATTAAGGACACACACATATACATGCCCAACATGTTTTTCAAGTCACCAGGTCTGGGACTTGAACACCAATGGTGGCCATGAGGGAGCAGATTCCCTTAACAAGGGAACATAGGCAAGTCTTGTTTTAGTATTCTTCATGGATACCCCAAAATACCTCCTGAAAGCTATAAGGCCTTCTCTCATTTTTCCTTTTGGATTTTTTTCTTCTTTTCCCTTGTTCCAAAGCTAGTGAGTCATCCATACCAAATATTTCCATGTTGTTTTTGCCAACAGCATAACCTCCATAGGAGACTGTCCAGGTTTTTGCATCTTCCCAGGATAAAGCAATATCCAGAGGGCTTAAGACATTGTACTCTCAAATTCCCACAAGAGCAGCTACATACAATACCTGTACAACAGGCAGAAAATACCTGAAATGTAAAGAGGACTGTGCCCCATTTTAATGGAGCTCATGAAAGGCTGTCATATGGATGGTGCTAGATTACTAAAATAATTCTCGGGTTTTTGATTTTAAAAATTAGGCTTTTAATTACAGAATATTGTTAGAATAATACAGATAGACACTAAGATAACTGTGACCAATACCATGAGAAACTGCTCTACATACTTACTTGTTCGTTCACTCTCCACAACCATAGAAAACAGGCACCAGGTGTTCAAGGTCTGTGCAGAAGCAGCCAGGGACTTGGGAGTGGAAGGCATGCAACGAGCACCAGCGGAGAGAGTCTGAGGCAAAACTTCTATGTGAAGTTCAACACAGCAAATGGGCAGCAAGGAGCAGAAAGGGAGGGGACAGAGCTGGTGCAGCTACTGTCCTTTCAACTTCCCAGCTGGAGTGTTCATGTAAGGAGAGGTAGCTGGGCACTAAGAAAGAAGCCTTCTCCTGAGCCCTTCTCCTCTAAGAAGCCAAAAGCAGCAGCAAGAACAGGTTGAAATGAGGCAGTAAGAGTAGGGAAGGAAGAGGGGATGAAATACAGTTAAGTCATGGAGATGCTGTCTTCTGTGTCCACCCCAAGCTGACACCTGCAGTGGCTCACAGAAGTAACAGTAGAATTCTGATATTCATTAAAACCAACAACACTGATACGTGAAAAGACATATTTGAGTTTAGTTACCAAGTACATATAAGCACCCAACAATTAAAATAGGAATACCCATAGTCTGCCAGATTCCGTACAGAACAAAAACCATGCTCCCTGCCCAAGTCTGTATTTAAACAGGAGTGGCAACATGAAGAAACCCCATTGGTGGAGTGGTTTTTCATTGTGTTACTTTGCAGGTTGTGTCAAGTGCTGAAGTCCCACAATTGTGGGTCACAATAAACTCACTACGGTATACTACGCAAGAGGGACCAGGGCCTCCTTCACCACCAAGTCCCAAAGAGCTATGGCAAAACATTTTTTAAATGTTACAACATTCACAATAAAGCACAGTGAAAATAAACTGAAACACTCTCAAAAGAAACCATATTCATTGTTTTCCCATCTCCTGGGCACCAATTCTTCCCACCCTGACGTGCCTGGGAAAGCATCCACACTTGGGATATTTCTCAATTCCTCCTCCAGTTGAGAAGAGGAGAATTGACACGACCAGGCTTAAACTGGGTCAACTCTTTACCCACTTAAATCTATAGGTTGGGAAGTTGGAAATACATTCCTACCGAGGTTTATTAATTCCTTCAACTAGGCCCAAGAGTTCTTCATTGCCATGGAAGATGATTCAGTCTGAGAACTGAACAACAGCCTATTTGTCCAGTCATAATCTCACACAACCGACGGCCACGTACAAGAAGTGCTTTGTTATGTGTAAAGACACATCTTACAGGAAAGAGAGTGCACGCTAAAGCACTAGTGTTTACATTTCTTTTTCCATAAAGAATGAAAAATAAAGGACATTTCTCACACTGGAGTCTTGTCTGTAGTTCCATCACATGATCCACATCACCCAGGAACATGCTAATTTTGTGTGAATTCAGTTTTTGCTATTCAAAAAACCACAGGAATACACATTTCACTGTACACACACATGCCCTTATGCAAGCTATGATAAACACTGGGATGTGGCCCTTAACAAATCCAAGAGTCAGCAGTAAAGGGGGAACTGATCTTAAAGGTTAACGGGGAAAGGACACAGAAATTACCTACAGTCCTTGGAAAGGGAGACTATGCCCTTCCCTCGCTGAAAGGGTCAACTCCACTTGCTCCTCACATGCCAGCATCACTTACAGTGCTATCTGTCCTTGAAGATAATTTCC